GCCACGTGTTCGGGCACCCCCAGTGGGGAATCCCTTCACTCCTTCACTTCTCCATCAATCTGTTCAAAGTAGGAGTATATATTCTTCAAAAACTTTGATACAAGGTAACTTTTTTTTGAATTTTTGAATGGATATCATATCAATTTTTTGTTTCAGGTTATCAAATATAGTTGTTCAACTATGAAGCTGCAATTTTTGGTTATTTCAATAATAATCATCTTCAATATCGTCTTTGGATGTGAGTTCTTGATTTTGAAATTTTAAATTCGGAATTCGGAATTTTCAGGTGATCCAAAAACTGAAAATTGTCACGAGAAGAATTCCAGAAGGCCGGGAGACCGAAAACGAGGGAAAAGAGACCCAGGTGAGAATTTTTTTAGCATTTTGAGAAAATATGAAAAAATTAGTTCTTAGTTGGAGTTGTAGAGAATTTTTCAATCCTATTTTAGAGTTGAAACTGGTTCATTTTCATCGATTTCAGTTGTTTTCGTGAAAAATTCACTGATTTTGAGCCAGCTTTCCCCAGGTTTCTAATCGAATTATGGTGATTTTATGAAACTGATTAACGTTCTTTACCACCCTATTTTCTTTTTTCATAGCGGAAGTTTCTAGAATTTCTCCAAAAAATCCACGTTTCTTGACGTTTCTGCGCTCCTTTCTCTCTCTGCCTGCCACGTGGCGCTGACCCCCGGGAATACAGAACACGCGCGCTTACCTATACGCCCTCCCCTTCGTTTCCTAAACGTGACGTGGCGGCCTAGTGGTTAGCGCTGTCCACTTTTGTTTTCATATCCAGGGTTCAACCCCCAACAAAGGCAAATCTTTTTTTCTTTTTCTTGAAAGCTAAAATTAACAATTATAATCAAAATTATAGACTTTTTGATGATTTCCAACCCTAATTCCTCCCATTTTCCAGGCTCAAACCTCCTCGAAGTCTCCAAAGGCCACGGTCCCTATGCTCGCTTCTGTAATGCCATGACGATCGCCTATGACCTCCGTTACAAGATCGAAAAAACCATTGTTCCGATTGCTGGAGAGCTCATGAACCTTGATGAGCCGACGAGTAATCGTTTGATGTCATTTGACTCCAATGCAATCTCCACTTTGTTCGATTCTCTAACTCTGACACTAGATGCTACGGAATTGGAGCTATTCGGGAATAAGATCAAGGAAATTCAACAGTTCCGAGTGAATTTCAACAACAAAAAGCCGGTTTCTGATGTAAAAGAGAAGCAGTATGACAAAGTGAATCAGCTGGTTCAGTCAGGCACTTTCAAGTTCACCAACGCTGACGAGAATTACCAGAAGTTCAAGACCGCTTTGAAGAATTTTAAAGAAGATCGAACTACACAACTAAAGACATGGTCCAGCGATGATGAGCAAAAGGTTCAACAACTGGCAAACGAACTTGGCGACAAAATAAAATACTTCCTTGGTTCTTGCAATGCCATTGTAGAAGATATCAAGCCGACATCCAAGCTGGAAATCGACTCGACTCCTTTCAACAGTTTGGCTGCTCAAGCAACCTTCCACAATAATTTCTTCGACAAGGACCTATCACATTGGATCGGAGACAATATATTTGATCAATTCGAGAGACTTCTGGAGCACTCCACAAATCGGGACAACGTGATTCACTCTCTCAACGCTATCCAAAACTTGATCGAGGTGGCAGAGAAATCCGGTCCTCTGAAATCATTCAATCGAACATACGCCCGTGCTTTTGTACCAGGATCTTCGACTTTGGAGACGTTCGAAAAGGAATTGAATGGCCCGAAATTCAAGGATCTGTTCGAATCCGAGGAGGATTTACAAAGTATGCGGAGAGGTTTCAAACGGCTTATGGAGTTTGGGAAAGCTGTCACTAAATCTCGTCCCGGGATATATGAAAAGGCCAAGGATCAAACTCTCAAAGTTCATTTGAATGAGCTTCTGGATCATATTCTGAAGATCAGTGCTGATGGATTATACTCTTCAAGCATCGGGAAAGTGAAGAAAGCTTTGAAATTGCAACCAACACCTTTGACAAATTTCAAGCCATTCATAGCATTGACTGTTCAACTCCAAACACTTAAAGCAGCTAAGGAGGCTCACAAAAAATTGGTGGAGGAGCTCAATAAATTGCAATCAGAACAGGAGTTCAAAGATTGGACCGATAATGAGCAGGCACTGGAGGATCTTCAACAACAACTGAAAGTCATCAAAAACCCAGCGAATTATTTGGCTGTGCTGAATAACGATGTCTACAAAAAAATTAGCGTCGAAATAACGGATTCTGAGACAAAATTCAGAAACATCATTGAGGCAGCGAGAGAGATGAAACAAAAGGCTACGGACTGTAAGGATCTGAAGACTTATGTGGACCCAGTAGAAGAACGCCTGAACGCAGACTTCAAAACCTTCTGGCTCAATCTGAATGATGCACCGGAGAAAACTCTGGAAATGATCAAACTTGCCAACGATCATCTCGGTTTGAACATGGACGGCTACAAGAAGACTTTGACCGATTTCCAATCCAATTTCATCGGAGAAATCAATTCTATCAAAGAGAAAACGGAATCGGTTCCAGTGCCTGAATTGAAGGATGCAATCGATTTATGGCATCAATATGCTTATCGGAGGTTGATCGAGGAGAAACTGATTGCTGGATTCTTGGTCTTCGGATATTTCCATGAAGCACTCTCCCGGGAAGCTGAAATCCTATCATTTCTCCAAAAAAAACAATCATACTTGGTTGATCACCGCTAATGATACTCTTGTGCCGATAGAATTTTTCAAGAAGATGTATCTCCCCGAACACGCATTGGATAGAACGGAAAACATGTTCGAGCAATTGAAGGCACTGGATCAAAAAATCGATAGCAGTAAGTTCACCAACACGAGGGAGCTGGAAAATTGGCAACTCGAAATTTCGTTGACTGACTGTCCGGAGGTTGTGGTGGCGGATTGGATCGAGGCGAACAACATGTTGACCCGCTTTTCCGATGTGAATCAAACAATGGTCGCTGAATCCCTAGACGCTTGCAAAAAGATCCAGGATTTGAATTTGGACTGGGCCTACCATAAGATACACGCGTTCTCCGTGATTCGAGGAGTTGATCGGCTGAGGAACTACATGCATTTGGTATACAAGGTGAAGAAAATTTATGAAAAGCCGAAAGTGCCGATGCCAAAGAAAACGTGAGTTAGACATCAGTAAGAAATTTTGAACAAATAAAACAAAAAAATTTTTAGAGCCCACCTATTGGACCCAATCGTCATCATCGTTCTTTTCATTGCGGTCATCCCCACCGCCTATGTCGCATCCCGGTACACTAGGTACTACAACGAAAAGAAGTATGGACAAGCTCGAAGAGATTTCCTTGCCAAAAAAGAGGAGGTGGTGATTACAAACGAAATCGCTGCGGAGCTGAAGATCAAAAAGGAGGATTTCAACAGTATCAAGGAAATGTATGACTATCGAGCCCAGGTTCGCGAGATTTGGCATCAGAATAAGGCGGATCCAAAGAAGGGTGAGTTGGGACGGTTTAGAAAAAAAGAAAAAAGATTTGACCCCGGCGGGGATTGAACCAGGGTGTCCAGATTCAAAAACGAGAGCGCTAGCCACTAGACCGCGTACGCAAGCGATAGAAGATAGGGGTGAGGGCGTAGAGGAGCGCGCGGAAAGAGAGAGAGAGAGAGAGAGAGAGAGAGAGAGAGAGAGAGAGAGAGAGAGAGAGAGAGACGGGGAGGTCAGCAATTGCGCTCTATTGATAAATTTAGTGGAAATTTTCCAACAAAAACCAATTTTCTAGTGCAAGCACGTCTCTACTTCCGACGTCTCCTCGAAGAAGCCCGTGACAAGGGCACCCCCATCGAGACCACCATCCAAAGAATCGCCGAACAAATCCAGGAGTCCTACAAAGAGTACCGTGGACCAACCCGTGTTCAACACGAGATGGGAAACTACTTCTTGAATACCGTCGGCAACATGGTCAGCCTCCCATGGCGTCTCTACAGAATTATGCGGAACAACATCCCGGCAAGACACATCTGGCAGTTCATGACCAGACGTAAATTCAGTATTCTCGTCGATTTCCAGACGTTGTGGTATGGTGAGTGCCGGTTTATTAGGGGGATTTATTTTTACCTAAGTTTGAAATTTTAGACGATTACCAAGTCGAATTGAACACCTATGTCCGTGGAAAACCGAATCAATACGTCATTTTTTGGAGTGAGGAGGTTCCGAATCCATTCAAAAATGTCGAGATGAGACTGGTTGTTAGGACTAGAACGTGAGTTTTTTGTGGGTTTTGTAGCCGAAAAACCCGAAATTTTGCATGGCCTAGAATTCCAAAATTTGAGAATGTTAGGCCATCGCTTCTAAATTTTGAAATTCATATAGATAGATGCGCCTTTAATTTATCAAACAGTTGGTCTAAAAACCAGATCGATATCTTCATTTTGAGCCGAGTTATAGCTGAATCTCTGAAAAATATTATTCTGAGCAATTTTTAAAAATTGGGCATAACTCTGCTAAAAATCAATATTTTTGAGTTCTGAAAAGTGGAAAATGATCAGGTAGCCAATTGGAACAAAAGAAAAATGTTTTAGAGTCAAAATTTTCAAAAATTTTATTCTGAGCAATTTCACAAAATTTGGATTTTTTTTTGGATTTTTTAGAAAGCTTGTATCAACCTGTTTTAATCAATAGAGAATTTTTTGATCTACCAATCACAATTCAAAAAATCAATATTTATTCTTTCAGAGAGTACGAGATGGTCTACATGAGATACCAAAACTTCCCCGTCGGCTTCGCCCCATTCGAATTGACTCCATGCCAAGTGATCTTCGAAATGATAGATGAGATGAGGGATGAGGATGGTGATGATAATGTAGCCGTGGTGTGCATTGATCGGGACGCCGATTCGAGATCGTGCATTATGCCAAGTGAGTTCTTCCTTTGTCTGCGCTCTCATTCCCCTCTTTGCTATAGCGCCTCGCCACCCCTTTTTGTTTGCGCGCGCGTGGCGCAGTCGGTAGCGCTGCCGCCTGCCAATCTGACAACGCGGGTTCGACCCCCGACACCTCAGACATTATTTTTTTCAGTGATCGACAACATGCTCCACGTCATGACCTATGCTGAATCCTTCGACGATTTTGCCTGTATCGGCGAGATTATGGCAAACCAACGACGAAGATCCATTGACCTGGTGACAACCGCTCAGATCGAGTTTTGTCTCTATGTGTGCTTCAAAATTATTAATGATGTAAGTGCGCCCCACTGAGAATTTTCAAATTTTGGTTTTTTTTTTCACCTATATGATTTTCAGGAGTCCGCCGCCATGAAGCAGCCAATGTTCAACGAGGACAAGACCGAATTCATGAGACAAATCGAGGACGCCTGGGCTTCTGCGTGGCTTAGAAACTACGAAAAGTACGAAGCTCACTACCAATCTCAGAAAATGGATCGGATCTATAAGCCGAATGATCGTGATCAACACTTCTATCCACAGTCGAAACCGCATTTGGATAAGATGAAGGAGGAGGTCATCAGAATGATGGAGAGGAGACGGGATTACGTGATGAGTAAGGGAGAGCCGGATCCGTACACGAAGGAGACGAAGAAGGAAGCCGATGATAGGAAAAAGAAGCAGTAGGAAGATGTGATAATTTACTTGAAAAATTATGTAATTAGGTTTTTTTCAAATTTTTTTGGTTTAAAAATGAATACTTTGTGTTTCAAATCTTTTACAGAAATTAAATAATTTCAAAGAAAAGGAAAAAATGGCTTTGGTTAATTATAATGAAAACTGGGCACAAAAAGGATAAAGGACACATGAGGAGAGAGACCATGAATGTTTTGAAAAACAAACGAAGGAAGTTACGGAAATTGTGGTACAAAATGGTTTGAATGAGAGAAAATTGAGGTTTATGTAACCTAGGTTTTCTACCCTATTTGCTTTGAATTCTCTTGCTTAACTTGAATGATACTCGGCTTTTCCCGGATAGCAATAATTCGTATATCAATGTTCCCGACCAACTTTTGTGTCCCCACCCTCGCACTTCTGGTACGGAATGGTCCGATGCCGGCTCTCCCTATTTCCCGCCTTTTACGACCATCTTGTATAAACTGTTTGTCGGTGTTGCTCAAAAGGGAAAAGGGGCCAGTGATGAAGCATAAGTTTTATGATCCTGGCTCTACCTCTTCTATATATCTAAGCTGTAACAGAGCCAGCCGATGTTCGAGATTTTAATGGAACTCGGGTTGAGACCTTACTTGATATTCACAGTGTACCATTTCTAAGACTTGGAAGACTTGAGAAATACGATTCAAAAATTGGATATTAACGAGATGTCAGGAGAAGCGATGAAGAAGTTTGCTGCAAAGTTATTCAAACTTGAGAGTTGAACTTATTGATTTTTACTTGAATAAATGTTTTTTGCGTGACCTTGTCTACATTATTCAAAAATTCAAACACGTTCTCACGAAACTTATTCAAGCAAATCGCAACATTTATTCCTCAGTTTTCCACTCTCATCCTTGCACTTTCATTATGAATGAACGCTTCAAATGTGAGTCCTCAACAATTATACAGTGCCGTCATATTCTCAATTTTGCAGACTCTCTTAATGGTGTATACCGATGCGAAAATTTTGCGCAACACGTGGAACGAAACCGTTACCGGAGAGTCCCAATAGGATCAGCAGGAGGAGTTAATGGATGGTAGTTTTAGTGCCAAAAAATCTTTTTTTTTGTCTAATTTTCAGGTTTATAACGTTACAAACAACGAACGACCAGAATAATAACCTGGTCATTTGTCATTTAATTTTTGCTCGTAATAAACCAGCTCTCCGCTTACGGTGTTACTTCAATGTCATCAAAAAAGATGGATCTTCATGTTTCCAAACGAGCAGATGTTATTTAAGTGCTCCCAATTTCGGTCCTAATGGAGCCGGTCCTATTGGAGAGTACATGAATATTGCGGATCTTCTGAATCAAGACAATGGATATTTGGATGATGATGGAGTATTGACTGTGGAGTACGGTATTCATGTAGACGGGATTCTGGGGGACGACGGTTGGAGGTTCAATTTTGAAGATCAACTTTTTGATAGGGAAGAGAAAAGTATAAGCTGGAAACTTCAGGCAGGGACACTTCATTCTCATAAACAGGTAACGATTCAACCATTAACATATTTTGAATTTTTTTCTTTACTAGTTTTTCAATATTGACGCTTTGGAAGTTCAAGTTCCCAATAAATTCGATATTAATGCTATGAAAATGTTCCTCCAACTTGCTCACGGAGTCGGATTGAACCTTGACAGTTGTTGGCTTTTCAAAGTCATCGAAATTGCTCATCACTATAAACAACGGAATGTCTTAAAATATTGTGAATATCACTTGATTGAGAATTATCGAACACTACTTTCTTTCATTTTGAAAAATATGATTCGAATTGCCACTGAAATGAAATTGGATAGATGGATGGGTCACTGTGTGAGAAGTGTTGAATGTGTGAAGGATTTTGATTGGGATATCGAAAATATGTCAGGAGAGGCTATGAAAATGTTGGCGGCTAGGATTTTCAAACACGGAAAGTGAACTTATTGATTTTTACTTGAATAAATGTTTCTTACGTGACCTTTTCTACAATTTCTGAATTTCGAAATAAGGTTTCTACGTGGCTTAGTCATAGGAATTGGGAAATTTATTTTTCAGTTATTCCACGTTCATCATGAGCGAACGTTTCAAATGTGAGTTTTTCTAATTTCTCCCTTAAATGCAAATAATCCAATGGTGAAAGTTTTTTGACGGGAAATGTCAAAAAAATTTCGTCAAAATTTGCTCATTTTCAAACTTTGCGTGTGTCATGTGGGCCGCGTTTTTGAGTGACGGCTTCGAAATTTGTTGGACACACGTAAAACCGTATTAGCTATGTGGGGAGCTTTTCGGGGTGATGATCGGAACAGTTTGAGCTGACTTATGATAAGGAAAGTGAAAAGTGCCAAAATGTCGAAAAAATTTTGGCCTGAAATTTGAAAATTTATTTTTGTTTTTGAGTGGTGTTGACACAGTTTTGGAAGGATTCATTTGAAAATTTCGGGATATATGTAGCTCGGCGAGCTCTATCGAATGAGCCATAGCCCAAGTCAATCGGACCACTGTGCCACTTGTGAGCCATGAAAATGTGGTCTATGATTGGGTATAGGGCCATAGTTTCCGGCCTATAACTGGGCTCAGCTACCAAATTCGGGTTTCAAAACCATATAGGGTTGTAGCCCTGATGGTACTCTATGTGAAGAAAAAAGAATTAGAAACCATTTAGTTCAAAAATTTTCCAGGTCAAGGAGAAAACTGAAATTTAGTGAAAAACTGGACAAAAAATAAAACTAAAATCGTTTGTAGGTCACTATTTGAAACCAGACAACTTGGGCTCGAATGAAATTTTCACGCTGGTTTCAAAAAGGATAATAATTCATTCAATTTCTGAAATATCTGGGTTCACGCCTTGAGACATATTTTAAGAATGAGAAAAATTATATAATCAAATGAAGACGTGGTGGCCTTTTTGATTTTCTATTTTCTATTGCACCGCAGGTCCTCAACGCATTCTAGTCTATTTCTCAGTTATTCCACGTTCATCATGAGTGAACGTTTCAAATGTGAGTTTTCCCCCCTCTTCCCTTAAATCGCGATTGCTCCGCCGTAGAAATTTCTTGTCAAAAACGTAGAAATTTCTTGTCACTGTTTGCAATTTTCCAACTTTGCGCATCTCCAGTTTTGGCAATTTTGAAGATTTTGATCTGAATTTTTTGGGGTGCACTGGAAACCGCTCTGTGTTTCTGGTGCAGTTTCCAGTGTTACGATCTGACCACTCTGGACCCGGATATTTCGAGAAAAGTACGTTGCGAAAATAGAAAAAATTTTGGAGCACAGAAAATTTCGCCAAAATCTTTTTATTTAATTTTTGGTCGCTTCAGTTTTTGAGGTTTCGATGTGGAAACAGGTGATTATGTTAGGCCCTGAGAAAGCTATCGATTGAGCTGAAAACTGCTTAAAGGAGGTGGGAACTCTCGTTGTATTGAGACTCGTATTGAGACTAAAAAAGGGCCGGGCGCTTATAGGTAAGCTGAGTAGGACCACTTTCCCAGCCGCATAGCGCAGTCGGTAGCGATGTTGGTGATCTGTCAGATCGACCTCGGGTTCGAACCCACCAGAGGTATTTATGTTTGTAATTTCAGAGCAAATATTTTTTTGAGTTCCCCCCTCCTTTAAATTGAGAATAAAATGAGAATGTAGGCCATAAAACAAAACTCGAAATTTCACAAAAAACATAGTTTTTCAATTCTTTCTACGAATTATTGCGTTGACCTCAGGTCAAATTTGCTTCTCACTCTCTTTTGAGAAAAAATGAATAATTTTAGCGTGTTTCACTTCTAAAAATAATCTTCTGACAGGCCCTCAACAGAAATCTAGTGTATAAGTTTATTCAGATTCTACAAGAGGTGTATACAGATTTGAGAACTTCGCTCAACACTCGGCACAAAACACTTTCCCAGAAGTTCCGATTGGTGCAATTGGAGGGATTAATGATTGGTATGAAGCGAAATAACTCGAAACTTTGACTTTCGATACAATATACAGGTTTCTCACATTGGATGTGATTGAAAACGAAGCAGGTGTCTTTTCATTAATCAATTGCGACAACAAACCTCAAGTATGCATTTATTGCTTTCTCGATATTCTGGATAAAAATGGCAAATCCTTTCAAAGAATTGAAATCAACGGTTATCATTTGCCTGAGACATTTATGGTTCGGACTCCAACATTGAAAATTCCGGTTATATTGAATGAGGAGAATGAACTTTTGGATAATGGAACATTGGTGATTGAGTACGGAGTCCATGTGATATCGATTCTTAGAAACGATGGAATTTGGAAGTTCAACTTAAACGATGCATTTTTCAATCCGGATGATAACCTCAAAACTGAATATGGGGATTCCGTAAAGGGTCCTCCGACGGTTCTCTATGGTCATAAACAGGTATAGATGCCCATAAATTTCCAATCTAGTAGGACGTTTTTC